TACTTACCTCCTCTCACATGTATAGCTATTCTCGTTCAGTGCTGCCCTCTGTATAAATAAATGTTTTCGCATGCCACAAGCCTTGAGCTCCCACGTACTCCGCGACCAATGTGGTTCACTGCTTTTCACATGTAAATCATCATGTGATAACCCTCCACCAATAGGAGCACGACACACCCTCCTAACACATGTGACTCCCTCTACTCGATTTTACCAAACTATCACTTCGAGATTAGGCAGAAAAGGAAGCACCGATTTTTAGTGGGGATGAAGAGTTGAAAGTGTGAGAGGAGGTAAGTATCTATCGGAAATATATTAGCAGTATAAGAAAATATCTTCTGATATGGTACCTTACCTCATCTCACATGTATATCTAGAATCCCACATTCAACAGGCAGAGGGACTGGTGCGAGGGATAGAAAAAAGTATCTTTTGAAAGTGTCCGAAGAACATCCATGAAGTGTGACCCCCATTAGGTGAGGAACACACGTGGGAGACTGCATCACTTTTGTACCAGGTATACTCAGCACCCAGTGTGGAAATAGGTGTCGCATACATGGGCAGTAAGTGGGAGGAGGACAACCAAAAAGGAGAGAAAACCGGGTGGGTTCAAATCCGAACCACAGTATACTGAAATCTCAATCCCAGTGAAGGAAATCTGTATAAGAACCATCTATAGATGGAATGTGGAGAAAGCTAGAATGGATTTTTCCCACGGCTGGTCGATTCTAGTTCAAAACCAATCGCCATTGGGAATACAACTTCTGACCTGGAGATGCTAGGAGAGAATAACACCAAACATTCTGAAATCTCAATCCCAGTGAAGGAAAACTGTATAAGAACCATCTACAGATGGAATGTGGAGAAAGCTAGAATGGATTTTTCCCACGGCTGGTCGACTCTAGTTCAAAACCAATTGCCATTGGGAATACAACTTCTGACTTGGAGATGCTAGGAGAGGATAACACCAAACATTACTGGGATAAATGGAAGATGTTGGATAGGACAGCTCAATAACCAGCCATAAAAAAAAAGCCCCATGATCAAACAGCCAGGTGAGGAAATCCATAATATGAGGAACCATGGGCCGAGAATGAGAAAAACCTCGACTCAAAGACCAATGGTGGAAGACCTTCCATTTACATTGATAAACTTCAAGAGTGGAAGGTTGAATGGTCCGAGATGGAGTGGAGGCAACATGCCTAGAAAGTCCAGAACACCTTGCCATGGACCTGATAAATGCCAGGAATAAAGTCAGAGGGTGTGAAGGATAGGATGAAGGACCGGTGACCAAGGGTGATGGAGTAGAAATGGAGTGAGAAGAAAAGGCAATAGGGATGCAGTGTGAAGCTGAATGAGATGAGGAAACCAAGGTTATGCTGGCCAGTAAGGAGCAATCAGAAAGACCTGACATGGAGTTGCATCAATGACCAATATCACCCTGGAAAGGAGTCAGATAAGAGGATGATCCAGTCCTGACTGAAAGCATCTACACCAGGGCCTGCGGATGAGGAACTGGAGACTAAAACAGAGGTAACTTGGTGTTGAGGAAAGTGGCAGAAACATCCAGATGAGGAGTTCCTCACTAATTGCATAGTCACCTGAAAACCTGAGGGTTGAGAGATCACTCCATGGGATAAACCTTGTTGGGTCTGGAAAGTTGATCCATCACCAGATTGAAAGCACCAAGAACATCACATGCAAGAAGACAAATCCACAGCATGTGGGCCCAATAAAGGAGTTCTAATGTTCAACCACAAAGGGAATGGGTAAGGGTGCCCCTTTAGTGATTGATATAAGCCACAACTTGGGAATTGTCTGAATGGATCATGACAAGTCAGTTCCATACAATAGGAAGAAAATGATCCAAAGCATGTCATACTGCGAGAAGCTCCAAGATGTTGATATGGTAAGGCTTTTCTATCGAAGGCCATTGTCCAGAAGCTGAGTAACTGAAGTAGCATCTGGACTGATGAAAAATAGGAATATGGAGATAAACATTCGAGATGTCTACCTTGGTCGATTCATATAACGATCAATCTCCTGATGAATGATAGCCAAAAACTCCTCAGCTGAGACCCCTGACCTGAAGCCTGTGTAATGGCACTTGAAGTAATAATAAGAATATCAGAATTTGTAACACAAACTTCAGAATTCATTTTAAACTGGGAAGAATTCAAAAAGCAGATGAAAAAAAATAGATAAACAAAGGTAAGTTATTGTGGGAAAATACTACAGAAAACCAACTGTAGCAAAAGAATAATTAAGTTAGATCACTACTTCGCACAAAAGAAAAAAGAACACAAGAAAAAGCAAATTTAAAAATGTCTGCACTAGATCACTGCCTAACAAGAAGTGATAGTTTGGTAAGATCTAGTAGAGGGAGTCACAGGTTGTGTCACACTCCTATTGGTGGAGGGTTGTTGCATGATCATTTACATGTGAGATGCAGTGAACCATATTGATTGTGGGATACATGGTAGTTCAAGGTTTGTGGCATACAAAAAACTTTTTGCATATAGAATACAGCGTTAAACGTGAATAGCTATATACATGACTAGAGGTAAGATACCATATTGGAATAACATGTATGTGCTGTTTATCATTTCAGAATAACAAAGGGTTTTGAAGGAGGTTAAGGATTGGATATGTGAGCCACTTACTACTATTTTTTTGTAAAGGATTGGAATCTAGCTAATGTTACTCCTCTTTCAAGGGAGATAATTAAAATGTCCCAGTAATGATAAGCCTATTATTTGTACATCAGTTGTGGGAAAAGATTTGGAAACTCTAATAAAAGATACTTTGCAAAGTCATTTAACAAAGTTTAGAATCTTATTGGTTAGTCAACATGGTTTCACTAAGGGAAAATCTTGCCTTACAAATCTTTTGACATTCTTTGAAAAGGTCATTGCTTTTCTGAATTTTCAGAAAGCATTTCACAAGGTGCTTGTAAAAACATTTTCTCTGTTGGTGTGGGGGATAAGTTAGCTAATTGGATAGAAGAGTGGCTGGATGGAAGGTAGTGGAGAGCTGTTTAAAATAGAGTTCAGTCAAACTGGATTAACGTTATAAGTGGGGTACCTCAGGGGTCAGTCCTTAGAACCTTTGCTATTTTTGACATAGATGAAGAAATGGTCAATAAATTACTTAAATTTGCTGATGATATTAAGGCTTGGGTATTGTTAGCTGTGAAGAGGATGCTGCTGCTTTACAAAAGGATTTAGTTCATTTAGTGAGTTGGGCAAATAAATGGAAGATGAGTTTTAACAATAATAAATCCAAGATAATGCATGCGGGTTATCATAATTTGAATTATAAGTATAATTTGTATGGGAATAACCTTAACAGTATCCTGAAAGAAAGGGATATTGGTATAATGGTTGATTACTCTCTTAAACTACTGTGTGCAAGTAGTGTGCAATTGCTAGTAGTAAGGCAAATTGGATTTTAGGTTGTATCTACAGTTATTGAATACAAGTCTAAAGAGGTTATACTTTCATTGTATAGATCATCAGTTAGGCCATATTTAGAATATTGTGTTCAGTCTTGGGTTCCTTACCTTAGGAAGGACACTGAATTGTTGGAAAGGGTTCAGAGGAGGGTTACCAGAATGGTGCCTGGAATGAAGGGTTTGTCATATGAGGAGAGATTGATATTTGAAATTGTTTTCTCTTGAAAAAGAAGAGTTAGAGAGGATCTCATTGAGGTGTTTAAGATTGCAAAGGGAATTAAGTGTTGTTGAATCATCTTTTTCCATATTTAATGGCAAGAACAGTAGGACTATGGGACACAAATATAAATTTCAACAAGCTAAGAGTATCTTCAGCTAAGACATTTTTATTTTTCTAACAGGGTGGTTGGCCTCTGGAATGAGTTGCCTTCAGATGTTGTGGAGGCAGTAAATTTAAGCGACTTTGAGAGAAAGCTTAATAACTATATGAATGATGATGGCTGGCTTTAAGGTTTTTCAAAAATAGTCTTAGTTTAGTTCAGAGGATGGGACAGCAGAGATGGATCAATAGGTCCCTTGTTGTCCCTAAACATTATGTTATAAGACCAAGTTTGTCAACTTACTGCACAGTGTATTTATATTTTAAGTAGACCTTCATTTTGAGTAAAGAATATAATTCTTACTGAGTTTACAAATACTTTACTGGTATCAAAATTTGCTGTTTCAAATCATTTGAGCTACAATTTCTACAAGCATTTCCTATTATTATGCTCATGAGTAACCGCTGAAGATTACTTGTCCCTAGCTCTTTTAGCTTTCACTTTGTCTGACCTCAGTTTCACTTACCTCAAGCAATCAAGTAACAGTTAATGTCAAGTCCTTACATTTTTGAGACAGTAATGAAAATTACTTTACATTACATAAGAAAGTCCCAATCAAAGATGTAAAATTCTGAAGTAGAAACAATAGTATTTACATTAATTTAAAAAAAGAACAAAATTTTGGAATCAACATGAAACATTTAAAATCTAAAGCTATGCACTTACTACTGGACAATGTAAAAGTTTCTTCTTCATTTTCCACTGACTTTATATCCAACAAAGAATCCTGCTCCTCATCAGAAAGGGGTTCAACTTTCATCTTTAATATTTCCATGGTTAAATCTGTGTGTCACCATTATATTCTCATCTGTAGCTTGCAGTTAGACTACAAAGAAACAGGTTAAGAATCAGATCTTGCATCTTTCTCAAAGGTTGTTACAGTCTTTAACAAATCGTGAAATACACATCATCCTGAGAACTTTCAGGATAATACATAAAGTTATATCTTTACACTAAAACTGTTACATGTTCTCTTTATCTCATCCATAAACTCATATTTCCATACTAAAACTGTTACAATTTTTCTTTCTTTGATTCATATGCTTATATTTCTATTGAAACTATTACAACTTCAATTAATCTGTTACTGACTTGTTTTTTTACTCTAAAACTGTAACAAGTTTTCCTTATGTGACATCACTATTTTCTGTAGTAAAATACTAAATTTTATCTTCATCCCATGTTTCAGTTGAAATTATTATAAGTTTTAATCTTTCATTCATTCTAGGTGAACATAACCCTAATTTCAAACCATTAGCCATAATTTAATAAAACCAAAACATTACAAAAGATGAAAAAACTGATGTATACAGCTCTTATGAAGTAACAAACAAGATGGAAAAAGAAAACCATAACAGCAGTATGTGTAGATTCAATATAGTGTCAATTTACATTCAAATACCAGTAGAAGAAGCCATTGTAATTACATTACACAAAATAGACAAAAATAAAAACAAAAATACATTTAGTAGACATAAAACAATTACAGTAACTAGGAAACAACTGTTTTATGTTTGGAAAAAGCTTCTATGCACAGAGAGGAAACTTAGGATTTTAAAGCATATTACTTCCAATATTAGCAATGCTATTCCACATCAGCATAGAGACAAAAGCCATTAATACAGCTATATTTCCACCACTTTCCTGGTGTTCATATGAGGATGCAGCTTTAAAGAAGAAGAAATGATGTTTTTTTAGCACAACAACAAACAACACAAAGACATAAAATTCAAAATAAAAAAAGATGAATAAAACTTCCTTAATATGAACATAAGGGAAAAGAAACATTCAGTTTACAAATTCACTTGTAAACTGGTTTTATGCACACAATAAAAGTCATAATCAGAAAATTAAAAGGATGCATAATAACAGCACTGAGAGTATGCTGCAATGAATATGAAATAAAGAAATAACAGAATATTTCAAAGCAAAAAATGAGTACCCTCAAGAAAACAATACACCAAGAAAAATGGACAAAAACAAGATGAAAAAGAGAACTGACCAAAACATTCAAGAAGTGCAATAAAAGGAATGTGTTTATGGACCAATACCACTTGTAGGTGTTATTAGTGAAAGATTAATTAATTTATGGTACAAATTAAGTAAAAAACATTAAAACTAAAATTAATACTAGACTAGGAAACAATATGAAAAATTTTCTACCAAAGTTATATAACAATATAAAGTATGATAATGGCACAGTGTAAGAAATATAATTTTTAGACTGCAAAAGTGTCTACTTAGAAGAAACATTTACAAAAGTAACAACCGGATGCAAGTAGTATGAAAAACAGTCAAACATAAATGAACATATGGTTGAGAAATAACACAAATAAATGTTAAAATGATAAATGTTTGATATGCCTACATATCATGCTCCTCCCTTCTACCTCTCTCTCTCACAGGCCTGTACTAAAGCCAACAATTAAACTTAACTTTAAAACCACTCACCTTTAAGCCAACCACTTGATATAAAAGCATGTTAACTTTACCACCTTCCTATAAACATACCTCACACAAACAGCACAAGCTTTTAACAATCAATCATATCTAACGACAATAAAACAAACCTTTTGACAAAGATTTAAACTTATATACAAAATACCCATTAACTTTAATTTTTAATTATATGCAATTCAAGACAAAAAGAAACCCTTTAACAGTAATAAGTACAGAAGAATATAAGCCTTTAGTAACATTAAAAATGTTACTTTAACACAAATACATATAACAATGTTCTTTTAACGTTGAATATAGTGACAAAGAACAAGCAATAGGCAAGTACACACACAGACAAAATATCCTTGGAAAAAGATAAAAATATAGTCAAAAAAGAGGAGACTTTATTACCTACCCCCTTTAGAAGGGGTAGTCTAATAGGCTACATAAAAATGAAAAATAAAACCCTTTAATGAATTACATACAAAATATCCAAGGACTATCCGATACCTAGGATTCCCTGGGGTTACATTTGACCAGCTACCACTGCCGTCCCCATTGGTCAGCAGGCACATGCATATCAGATACTCCAACCCAGCCTCATCCCTAACCTATCATCTGGTTGTCGTACTGGCAGTGCTCAGTTCCAGTTGGAAGAAATCGGGTTCAAGATAGTTCGGGTCCTACACAAGTCAAGCTGACTTCATTTAAGTGATGCTAACCATACCTTTGATCTTTAGGCTTTCCCAATGATAATTCCATAGGGGTTTCCTTCCACTTACAAATGATTAAACAATTATGGCACTAATTATAAAGTTTCAACACCTGGGTAGTACTTGCTGCCTTCCCCTTTACACTCACAACCAGCATCTTCATGTATTTTGTACTAATGATTTGCTTATTAAAATTATCAAAATCTGCCTGACTGGGGATATCCCTATCACAACCAAATGTATTGTTACGACACTGGAAGTCACGTGATGCTGGTGACACGTGATGAATTTCTCAAATGATCATGAATGATCGGGGAGGCCCAAGTTTGTTTGAGATGCCCTCTTTTTTAATATATAAGCCTCGCAGAGAGAGCCTGTGAAGATGAATGAAGAGAGTTCCAGGTAATTTATGATTTTGTTTCGAGCTAGTGTGTGTTTCCGAGATTGTGAATCGCTGCGACTTATAGCATGTATTATAAAAGTAGTTATGTTTAAAGTGACGAGAAACATACTGATTGTGAAATTACCGTGTGTTAAAAGTTGTATCGAGAAAGAATAAACTGGTTATAACCAAGAAAGGACTTGTATTGCTGAAGTTTCTCGGAAAGAATTTCTATTGGAAATTAACAAACAAGCAGACACACAACAGTATATGACCTACAATTTATTTATTGTACATGTATATGTACATGCCAACTAGTAAGTGAATGTGCCAACAAAGTTCTCATATAACAATGTAAGATTATACCATTTGTACAAAAGTACAAAAGGTATCACTTTAAAGTGAAAATGTCTGCGGTTATAGCTGTCAAAAGCATTGGAGATATTCCGTCTATCAGACGTAATTAAAACAACAGATGCAAAGCTAGGCAGCAAGTGACCGAAAAAGGGGTAGGAGGATTAGGATCTGGGTGCTAGAACCCACAATATCCCAGATCCCACTACCACTCGCCATCTATAGCAGGTTGTGGGTATGATAGTTTTCCCTAAAAAAAACAACATAAAAATAGAAATCAGATATTAAACCTCCCTTTATTTCTATCGAAGAACATCATTCAACCTTCTCGCTATTACAGTTACTCCATGATATTAAATTACAAAATATATACTATCTGTATGGGCAGTAAAGATGTTAACAAAGAAATTAAGCAACTAGAACAAAGCAACTTTCTGGACCACTTGTAGCCACCATGACACTGTGAAAAGTAATCAAAAATTAAAAAAACAATTCTATATCACTATACAATATAATAATTCCTGATAAATACACAATCGATTTATAACAATATAATAATAATAATTCCTGATAAATACTCAATCGATTTATAACAATATAATAATAATTCCTGATAAATACTCAATCAATTTATAACAATATAATAATAATTCCAGATAAATACTCAATCGATTTATAACAATATAATAATAATTCCAGATAAATACTCAATCGATTTA